TGTTGATTTGAATCATTCTTCAACATCGAGGACCCACCTCATGTGAGAGCAATTGCTCTACCAGGCCTTTTACCGGCCTGATAGAGCATAATTATTCTTTTGAACCTTTCTTAGCATACAGAAACGAAAAAAACAGGGAAGACACAAATATGTGGGGTCCACTTTTTAAAATTATATTTAAATCAGGTGGGACCACATCCATGTGACTATTCTGTACAATTTTTGGCACAAAATTTCTGTAAATTCAGCATTATTGTATTCTTTTATATTTGGATATGGCTCAACACAGCACCCATGCTCCTCCTCAAAGTGTATTTTATACTAAAAAATATAAAGCGAAAATTGCACTGAGGTCTTCAACCTATAGCAGTTGTTTCTTTATATCAAAGTATTTTCTTGACCATTCGAGTCCTTAGTGCTTTAACTTTCGAAGAATTTGATTGAAAAGAAAATAATACTATTAAAATTTAGTGCTCTATGTTGTTCATTTACTTAATCTTTATTAAGCCCATATTTGATAGAAATTAAAATATAATTTTTTTTATCAAATTCAACAATTAATCTTAATTACATATTTTATGGGACCCACAACCACATATTTCATCAACTTTTATCAAAATTCGCTAAATATCTAATTTTAATCTCTACCAAAGAGGAGCTAAATATAGTTTTTACCCTTAACAAATATCATTAAGAACTTAAAGAAAACGCAAGTAATTGAACAATAGGGAGTTATACGAGTTTTTTTTATTTGTCAATTGGATTTTTTTAATATTATATTCTAGCTAGGTCCTTTCATTAAATGCTTATATATTAACCTCTCAAATAGTGAAATATGTGAGACATGGACAAAATTTTGTTTGTTAGGGACCAATGTAATATAGATTTAAAAAATTGAGGACCCAATTCCACTCAAATATTGTTAAGGACACTATTGTAAAATTTCAATAGGTTGAAAACGGGTGATCTATATTTCCAAATAAAAATCATAAAACACTGTCCAATATGTTCTACTTGTATTCTAATTTTAGACCTCGTTTGATGTACATTATTAAGTGGAGAATGTATTTTAAATATTGATTTGATGAAAAATATGTGTTTAAAAAGAAGGAAAAATTTTGAATTTACGTATAATATTATTTTATTGAAAAATGTGTTGTTGAAAATGTGTTTTAAAAAAAAAAATTATAAGAAGGTGGATCAAACGGGGTGTCAAATTAGATTTCATGCGACTTATATATATGAGTTAATTGTTTCTGACTACATTACAATGTCAATCATACTATTGTTGATTTAACCCTTGTATGAGCCCAATTTTTTCAATCAAAATGTATTCTTGAATAGTAATTTTATTTTATTTTAATTACACAGTCTTTAATAAAATAATATTACTATGCAAATTAAAAAAAATTTCTTATTTTTTAACCACACATTCTTCATCTTAACACTATTACAATATGATTTTTTTTTTTTTTTTTGAAAAAAATGGGGCTCAAACGAGCCCTTTAATTTTGATGTTTTTGTTAAATCATTTAATCATATGTGATTCCTTCTTGTTACCTATGTAATAGTTCAATTTTATTTTTTATAGTCTTTGAGGATGAAATTTACTTATTTGACCATGAAATAGATGTTATTATCAAAATATGTAACTTGATCTATACTTCAATAAAAAGAAATTTGTTAAATTTCACCGTTAAATTTGATTTTAGCTACGAATATTTTTTTCGATAGTAAGTGATATATAGCAACGAATATATTATTTTATTTTTATTATTAAAAGAAGTTTGTACAACGAACTTTCTTTATGTTGAAAACATCAACAATGGAAATTTGATAGTCAAAATTTTGAATAAACCACAAAATTTTGAACACAACAACAAAAACATGTCGTATTTGAATGCAAACTTTCAACGACAACTTTAAAAGTTTTTGAGACGGCCTTTCTGAAGGGATTTTTCGTTTTTGACAATATTGATGATTTTCATCGACAAAAAATTTTTATCACTAAAAATGATTTTTTTTTTTTGAATATATGAGATGCGTCAAGGACGTAGAACGAGATAGACTTGGGCATGTAATACTAATGTAGCTTCTTTTTTTTTTCTGGTTTTCTTGCTCTTTTAAAGTCAAAAAGTTTCAGGCAATTGAAGTATTTGGATTGTGGAAGATCAAGGCAAAATGGTATTAATATATATTTTTTTAATCAAAAACTGGTATTTCTTTACGGAAATAATCACGGTTTACATATAGCCCCAGTTTGGTACAAATTAACATTCATATTTTGATTTAAATCAAAGTTAACAATTAATTTAACCACAAATTTCATGACACCCACAACTTTTTAACCACATATCTCATTAATATTTATCAAAATCTACTAAAAATTTGATTTTAATTCCCACCAAATCGGGGCATAGTTTAATAATTTGAAGTTAATAGAAGGGTAAGATCAAAATAAACGTTAAAATTTGATAAAACCGACTATACAATCTTATTAAGTCAAAATAAACAAATAATAGCCTATCCAAGTTGCTTTTTTTTTTCATTTAATAGGGATGGAATATTTATCGATCATGCTACATGTACTGATTTTTTTTACATAATCCCTTATCTACTACTCACAATAGGGGTGGGGACCACATCTTGAGATTTTTTTATTCACGCGTGCATGTGAGAGGAGGTAAACAAATAAATTTATCCAATATTTATTCATAACTTAAAAAAAGACACGCGACATTGACATGTACCTAATGAGAAAACAAAAGATAACTAATCCAATCGATCGGAGATTAAACTTCCTCGTTATAATCCTAATCATCATGCGTCGAGTAAGAACTATTGCAAGAATATGGTCGCTTTCATAAACAGTTTCTTCACGGAGTATGCCATTGTATGTCAATATTGCTTTGCTTCCCTTCCTCTACCTTAATTTCCATCAAAGGAGTACTGTACTATCCTGTA